CCCTATATGTTATGCTCTTTTCGATATGTGCAAGGCGATTTGCAAACAATGGCCTAGTTTGAACAATCTTGAAGAAGTCCGTGACCCCTGCACGTAGCAAGATCGGAGCGAGAGCTTCGCCCCACTGCCGCTTTAGGGTGTTACCGCCTCTTTGTTGGAGCAGGTTTATTTAAGAAAAGCAGGACCTTACAACGACCCCCTTGGATTTCGCTGATTTTTGGGTGGTTAGTAGTCCCCCATGGTGGGAGTTCATGGCCAAAATTTCAGACCTCAAAAAAATTTTCTCTGGGAGACATGGGGATTTTAAGTTTTTTTGGGTATTTTTACACTAATTTTGGGTATTTTTTATATCTCAGGGACTTTTTGTCCGATTGGTTTCAGATTCGGGTTCTAGCTTCAAAATTGAACGGGGAACACGATCGTGCCGTCAGATTTGACCTAAAATAATTTTTTCATGGGGAAAACTCACTTTTTCTCGAAAAATTACATAAAAAGTCCCAAATCTTGGGATTTTGCAGTTTCAAGTACCCGATCTTTTTGAAACTGGTCTCATCTTACGCAGAAAGGTCCGCTGAATCCAAAAATCACAACCCCAGATTTTTCCGACGAACCGTTCCGGAGATATTCCACTTCAAAGTCAGGCAAATTTTTTTACGGCCTAAAAGTTGTGCGATTTTGCTGGGCTTTTCATTCTGAGGCATTGGGCGGTGAGTTCCAGTGACGCTGGCCTTGTGCGCCGGCTGGTGTTCCCTAGCATGCCCTTTTAGCGCCCGCCAGGCAGGCGAAGCCGTACCGCAACACATGCGTGTCCGACTGGTGGCCTATCTCGCCCCTGACGCAAGCCGCTACCGCCGCAAGCAAAGGCACTCCGCACTCCGTGCGTTCGCTGACTCAGCCGCTTCGCCCCCCTAGAGTCCCAATCTTGGTCACTACGCCCTCGCTGTTTCCACTACCCTCTGGTTCTTCGGCACACAATGACTCCCCGGTTTACGGCCCTGAAGGCAGGAACTGAAAATTAGTCTAATAAAACACAGATTTCTCCTCAAATTAATCCCAAAACACACCTGAGTCCTCCATGCTGCGGATGACAACCACAGTTGTACAAGAACCGAGTGGTTAAAGAAACTCAGCTCCTCTGCAAACTGGTGTGTACATAATACACTCTTATTAGAGCATGCTTCCAAGTACACTCTTATTTACGGCATACTTGCCAGGTACACACTACAAGGTAGGTGTACGCCAGACTGTGTCTTGTCGTAACAGGCTTCGCGATGCTGCGCCAGTTTCGACAATCCACGCCTGGCGTATACACCTACCTTGGCCTGCGGCGCTAACCTGCCTTCGGCAGACTGCCTTCCTTGGCAGACCGTGGAAATGGGCGTGATCCCCTCAAAAAGAGCATGTGCTCATCAAAATCTACACTTATGGGGCTAAACTTTCGGTCGGAGGTCAGAATGGGTTCTATTTTCGTCATCAGCAGCCTCAAAAACATTTAGAACGACATTGAACTTGACAAAAAGTTGAAAGTTCCAAAAAAGTTGTCTTTTTCCTGCCATTTTTAAAGTGTTTTTTGGCTAATATGACCGAATGGGTTGAGATAGAAAGCTGAATTTTGGTGTGTGGCGAGCCAAGGATATGCGCAATGACCCTGCAAAATCTCAGCAGAATCGGCCGAGCCGTTTAGGAGGAGTAGTGCGGACACACAGACACACACACACACACACACAGACAGACAGACATGAAAAACTTTTCAACCCCACTAAAGTAACAGGCTTCGCTATCGCTCAGCCAAAAATAGAGTTTACATTGCATGTACACGCTAAATAAGAGTGTACCTGGCAGGTACAAACTGGCCCATGCTTTTAGATAGGACTTAACGAGTGTATTTTAGCGTGTTCACGGAAGGTACACACTTATTTAGCGTGTACTTGCCAGGCACACTCTACTTTAGCGTGTGTCTAGCAAGTATGCTGTAAATAAGAGTGTACTTGGAAGCATGCTCTAGTAAGAGTGTACTATGTACACACTTCAGTTTGCAGAGTCGGCAAAGTCTCAGGCGAAGACAGCGACGCGTGCGACACAATGTAAACAAAGGGGGCACGGTAGGGGGTACGGTACGCTACCGGCAGAATGCAGGCAGGGGTTGATGATAGGAGACGGAGGGGGAGGTGGTGAAGAGAAGACCAGAAGGACCAGGGGCAGTAGAGTCAGGGAAGGGGAAGCAGCTGGTCCAGCGAACGGAGCGCGGAGCCTTTGTTTGCGGCGGAAGCGGCTTGCGTCAGGGGCGAGATAGGCCACCAGTCGGACACGCATGTGTTGCGGTACGGCTTCGCCTATCTGGCGGGCGATAAAAGGGCACGCTAGGGAACACCAGCCGGCGCACAAGGCCAGCGTCACTGGAACTCACCGCCCAATGCCTCAGAATGAAAAGCCCAGCAAAATCGCACAACTTTTAGGCCGTAAAAAAATTTGCCTGACTTTGAATTGGAATATCTCCGGAACGGTTCGTCGGAAAAATCTGGGGTTGTGATTTTTGGATTCAGCGGACCTTTCTGCGTAAGATGAGACCAGTTTCAAAAAGATCGGGTACTTGAAACTGCAAAATCCCAAGATTTGGGACTTTTTATGTAATTTTTCGAGAAAAAGTGAGTTTTCCCCATGAAAAAATTATTTTAGGTCAAATCTGACGGCACGATCGTGTTCCCCGTTCAATTTTGAAGCTAGAACCCGAATCTGAAACCAATCGGACAAAAAGTCCCTGAGATATAAAAAATACCCAAAATTAGTGTAAAAATACCCAAAAAAACTTAAAATCCCCATATCTCCCAGAGAAAATTTTTTTGAGGTCTGAAATTTTGGCCATGAATTCCCACCATGGGGGACTACTAACCACCCAAAAATCAGCGAAATCCAAGGGGGTCGTTGTAAGGTCCTGCTTTTCTTAAATAAACCTGCTCTTACAGTGTTCACAGCGCTCACCTCTCCCTCCTTGCTGAGCTCGACCTGGAGCTCTATTGCAGCTCGGCGCGTGTAGCGCAGAGCGTCTAAGATGATCGTCTTTCGCGTCGCCAAGATGACAAGGGACACGGTGCAGGATATGCCTCCGCACATGGTGCGCATGGATACGCGTTCTGCTAATGGACGATTACTTGTCTCGAGCACCGTGTCAATCAATGCCAGCACCGTGAGTATCAACATCAGAAGAAATGCCATCTGCAACATGTTGCTCGTTCACAGCTAGTCGCCTTACCCCTCTTGACAATCGTACACCGTTAAAAACAAGGTAGGTTTACGCCAGACCGCGTCTTGTCGTAACAGGCTTCGCGATGTCTCGCTGCCTGTTCCTCCAATCCACGCCTGGCGTACCTACCTTGGCCTGCGGCGCTAGTCTGCCTGCGGCAGGCAATGGCTTGTCCGTTGTCGGTTATTTTTTAACTTGTTGAATGCTGGGGGGCTCCGCCCCCCAGACCCCCCTACATTCTAAATAGAGTTGTTTTATCTACAGATTACACGATCTTGACCCTTGTCACTTTTTAACTTGTCGTAGCTGGGGGGCTACCCCCCTTTCTCCAAGACAGAAGTGGTCTATCTTCAGAAATCTCTATTTTTCGCCGTTTTTTAGGTGTTTTTCGCCTATAAAAACTGAACCAGTTGAGCTAGGATGGTGAAATTTCGCGTGTGCCGAGCCAAGGACATACCCAAGAAGTGTGCAAAATCTCACCGAGATCGGCCGAGCCGTTCAGGAGGAGTAGTGCGGACACACAGACACACAGACAGACAGACACACAGACAGACAGACAGACAGACAGACAAAACTTTTCAACCCCACTGGAGTAACAGGCTTCGCTATCGCTCAGCCAATCAACTGTAATAGTATGATGTCAGGTTACAAGGGTCTTGTTTAATAAAAGCACTATGCGATCAACACAAATGTTGCGAACACATCATCGAAGACCCCAAAGAAGTATTCTTTTATTACAATCGAATTATGAGAAAACAGCACCGGGGGGGGGGGGCTACAACATGCTGGTAATAAAACAAGTCGTGTTGCTATCAAACTTAACACTCGTGTAAATCTTGTCAGGATGACAGAATCGTGTCTGAAAACCTGATCAAAATTCGCGCACCTCTGAAAGCTTAAAGCATGTTCTGACATTCTGCAGAACTCAGGCCATCAATACAAGGTAGGTTTACGCCAGACCGCGTCTTGTCGTAACAGGCTTCGCGATGTCTCGCGGCCTGTTCCCCAATCCGCGCCTGGCGTACCTACCTTGGCCTGCGGCGCTAGCCTGCCTTCGGCGGGCATTGGCTTGTCCATCGTCGGTTACTTCTTTCTCGTTGCATGCTGGGGGGCTCCGCCCCCCAGAACCCCCTTCATTCTAGATAGAGTTGCTTCATACAGATAACACGATCTTGATCCTTGTAACGTTTTAACAGACGTTAGTGATCTGCCTGCAAAAAACTCGATTTTTAGCCGTTTTTTAGGTGTTTTTCGGCTATTAAAACTGAACCAGTTGAGCTAGGACAGTGAAATTTCGCGTGTGCTGAGCCAAGGATATACCCAAAAAGTGTGCGAAATCTCACCGAGATCGGCCGAGCCGTTCAGGAGGAGTAGTGCGGACACACACACACACACACACACACACACACAGACAGGAAAAACTTTTCAACCCCACCCGAGTAACAGGCTTCGCTATCGCTCAGCCAATCAGCACAAGTTTTAGGAATTTCAGCTTTCAGAGGTGCGCGAATTTTGATCAGGATTTCAGACTTGTCTCTGACATTCTGACAAAATTTACACGAGTGAACAGCATAAGTGATCCAGGAAGCGGAAGAAAGGAATAATTCGACTTATCTCCAAATTGAGTTTTTATCTTACCTCAGGATGGTTTGCATCATTACACCAAATTGTTTGAGTGGAGCCCATAAACTACATAATTACCGACCCAATTCCTAACAGTTTAGGAAAAAATTCACATGAAAATTGGATGTAACTCAACACTGTTAAAAAAACCTGTTAAAAATTCATTTATCCCCTTCTTCTGCTTTATGGATTCAGTGAACTTACAGCACTTTTTTGACAGTGTACTGTTCATCCATGCTATAAAGGAATCTGTTAAAAATGAATGGAACATGTGCGATTAAATAGTATGTGCAGCGCAAGAATATTTTACAAGAATATAGTCACATTTGGCGCTCTTCAACTGGGATTTGGAGGACGGCTCGTAAAAATGTTTATCTTCAAGAAGTCGGACTTCATTTTTCTAACACAATTTCACAGTTCCACCCAATTTCAGGAAAGTGGGATTGTCATTATAGGCTCGGTGGGTTGAGTGCGGAAGTATAGCTTACCAGAGACTGTCGAAGGAACTGAAGTATTCTGCACAAGCGAGATTGGCCGGGCTCGTCTGGATCTCCCATGTGCTGGAGCCACTCTGTCAGGTATCTGACCAGAGGACCATCGTCCTCTGCACAGGTACTGGCCGCTGGCATCTCGAAAACGGTGGGAAAGCGGCGAGGCTGCCGAAAAATCGTGAAAAAGTAAGGGAGTATGGAGCGATTTGTAACAGATTTTGGAATTCTCTATACAAAATTAAGAACATTCTGCATATCGGGGTCAAACTTGTGCCAGTTGAGCAGTCTGGCCCTTCATCTAGACTGTGGAGCTCCATTGGATCAATCTGGAGTCCGTAATCTTTGAAATCTTAGACCCTCTCCAAACCCTTGCATGCTGTTACGAATCGCCCCAGCATGGGGTAATAACAGCCATGGGGCTTTTCATAACATCCTACACATTAAATGAAACATCGTCGGGAATGTTATCTCCTCCAGCAGTTGTTCTTCGGATGTCCTGCAGACGCCTTATAATCTGCATTACAAGCTGCCGTTGACCGCCTCAGCATTAACTGACCGGCTATGTCAACCCTAACCTCACTTTTTTCAATTTTGGAGAGAAGAATGGAATAACTCGCTTTAAAATGCATTTTGAGCTGTGTAAATGTAATGAAATTAGGCAGCAGATGATTCAAGAAATAGTTCAAGCATTTAATTGCAAAAACTACTTGAATTCTTGTTTTTATACGGGTCTGTTACGAATCACCCCAAATACCTGTTACGCAAGAAATACGTCCCTAACTATCACTGGCAGGGCCGGACTGGCTAAGTCAGGGCCCCGGTCGCAGTGTGACGTCAAGGGCCCCCTTTTCCGATATGCGTCCATTGTTTTAAATTTACTAGCCAGGAGGAGGCCTTCGGCCTCGCTGCTGAGCTGGATTCTGCTGGAGATGGAAATGCATTTCCATCAGTAGTAAACCCGGGGGGAACGAACTGCACTCAAATCTACAATTTTAAAATGCATCTACAACTCTACAATAACTGTAAGGCATCTGTACTTAAATTGAAGTTTATCTAGTGTTGCAAATGGCAGGACGCATATAAAAAAATTATAGTAAGACTGCAGTTGGACTTATGTAGATACAGCAGTTTAACTGTAGTGAAACTACAGTTAAACTGCAGTTAACTACAGTTTTCTTGCAAATAAACTGGTAGTTTTTTTGTAATACTGCAGTCAAATCTGCAGTTTAGACTACGGTCATCTCTCGTTTTAAAAATAGCAGTTAAAACTGGAGTTGCAAAGTATCTTTTAACTATAGTTTTAAAATTAATTTTTTAAAACTTTATTCCTTGTTCTTCGGGAACTCTCTCCCACCCACCCAACCCCCTTCTCCTTCGTTACTCAACGACTTTTGATGATGAAAGTTGTAGGCGGCGATGGTATTCGAACGACGATCCTCCGGGTCGTGGAGCGGAGGTCTTGACCACTACGCTGGCAGGCGGGCGTGTCCGGAGACGTGCACGACCCGGACCACATGACAAGACCCCCTCTCGTGACCCACTGATCGGGCACTGCAGTTCAACTGCAGTTTTAATGCAGTTTAACCATAGACAATGTGCACTTGGCTAGATAATGTGCACTTGGCTATCACAATTTCTACGCAAACTGCCGTTTTATACCGTAAGTCTCACAATTTTATAAGCGGAGAAGCATATCCATTTTTATAAACGATAGGGCAAAAAAAATCCGTATTAGAACCGCTGCCGTTTCTTTATCTTAACGAATTCCGCGCAACTGACTGAACACCAATATTCTGGTTATTCAAACACACAAAAGGAACTAAATTTGGAGAATTTGGTGATTTTATTTGGAATTGGGACAAAATAGAACACTGATTTGGCTAAACTATGAAGTTGCTTACAAAACTGCAAAAATGGGCAACAAAAATTGTAGTCAAACAACAATTTAATTACACTCCCGAAGTGTGCTTGCTTTTAGCAAACGGAAGTACAATTTAAGTTCTGACTACAGTGGAGTTAGAACTGCATTTAAGAACTGCACGTGAGACTGCAATTAAACTATACCTGTGCTGCTGTTGAAAATGCCCTCTATACTACGTTTTGATCTACAGAGTTAAACTACATTAAAAGTACTTTTAAAACTGCCTTTTCTGAACTGCAGTTTTAGACTGTAGTCTGCACTCAGTCAAATCTGCACTTCCTTCCACCCGGGAATTAGGAAGTGTTTATTTTGAAAACGGGCCGCTTTTCTTTAAGCGGTAGTAGCCAGCAGGCTCTGACTGGCCAGGGCAGACAGGCAGATGCCGGGGCCTTCGGGTTTAGGACCATTAACGTCACAAAGTTGGTCAAAAAGTGATTGAATCTCCGAAAGTAGCCGTTTTCACTGACATTGGGCGGCCACTGTGTCCATGTAGTTGCCTTAAAAGGCCTCCCTCGACGCCCTAGTATTCTTATGACCCCACTATTTCATGCCCTGTATCGGGAAGACGTTGACCACAACGATTTTGGCTTTGACCGCAACGATTTTGGGACCAAAGTTGGTCAAAAAGTGGTGGAATCTCGGACATTTGCTGATTTTGCTGACTTTGGGTGGCCACTGTATCCAATCTAGTTGCCGTAAAAGGCCTCCCTCGACGTTCTAGTATTCTTAAGACCCCACTCTTTCATGGCCTGTATCGGGAAGACGTTGACCACAACGATTTTGCCTTTGACCGCAACGATTTTGGGACCAAAGTTGGTCAAAAAAACGCTTAATTTGCTGAAATCTTGCGTAAAATCGGTAGAAATTTCGTAAAATACCATCAAAATCTCGCGGAATCCGGCATAATTTTGACGCGAAATCCTGCGAAATCTTGAGAAACCTCTACAGAGTCCCTACCATTAAATTATCCTGTGTATGAAAAATTTTCAAATGGGGCCCCTTCGATTTAAGTACGTAAATAGTTAAAGACCGCGACTTTGCCGCGGCCAAAAAGGCCCCGCGGTGAAAAGGCCCCGTGGCCCGCGGCCGAAAGGCCCCGCGCTTCGCGCGAGGCCCCGGGCGCGATCGCGCCCTTGCGGCCCGGGCCAGTCCGGGCCTGATCACTGGACAAAGTAAAAGCAATTTATGCCACGTGGTTACATTGTCAAGGGGTCACGCTTCAAGGCCCCAACGGTACTTCGATGGTGATTCATACCTGGGGAGCCTCAGACAGAAACTTCCTAGAACTCAAAATAAAAGATTCGCCTGTTTTCGGTGTACCCTATATTTCAGACGCCCTCCAAAACTATACCTGAGCACCGATCACATCCGCTTTGATTGTTGAAGGACCCTGTACTTGAAGCGAAAGAGGGGCCATAATCAGATTTTCCTCTGCTCCCTCCACTTTAATTAATAAACTCATTTGTTACGAATCGCCCCTGTTACAAATCGCCCCATACTCCCTTATACCTCACAGCTTGTTTGTTCAGCACCGCGTCACACTGCCGATGAAGTCGCAAGTTTGCTTGCCACAAAATTGGCAAGCCCTTTGCAAGCACTGTGGGAAAAATCACAGTAAATCCTGTATCACCGACAAAAATACTTTGTCAGTCCAACCAAATTTTAGTAAGCACAAGCGATCCTTCGTTTGGTTTTAGTCCAACTAAGATGTTCCGAACGAAAATTTCAACAGAAGAGCAGAAAAGTTTGTTGCCCCAACGAATGCATCGTCGCAGTACACTTGGGAAAAAAATACAGTAAATCCTGTGGTTATTACAGCTGTCACTGTAGTTCAGAGTACAGGATTTACTGTACTTTTTTACAGGATCAACTGTACTTTGTACGGGATTTGCTGTACCACAGGAGTGGAGTTCGGAATATCCTGTACCAGGTACAGTAAATACTGTAGCCAGGCACAGTAAGTCCTGTGTTCTGAACTACAGTAAATCCCGGAAAAAAATTAACGGGATTCACTGGTTTTGAAACGGCTATCGCATGAACTAGAAACCATGAACACCGAGCAATCAAAAGTACAAAATTTTACAAAAGAAACTGTTTAAATCATTTTTAAAAAATCCTCAAATTGTTTTTGGATGAAGTTTTGTACTTTTGGTTGCTTGATGTTCAAAGTTTTAGTGCCTGCTTCAATTTCCTACATTTTGGCGCAAACGGGATTGAGATATCTTCAATTTTGCTAACTAAAGGACTCCCGCCAGTTCGATTTTTGATAAAAATTTGATTGGTAGCTGCTCCGCTCCCTGACGTCCGGTCGACGCCATTCTGGGCTTAAAATGCTTCTTTTCGTAAGGTCTTGACACATAAAAACTTTGAACAATGTACAACAACGTGTATGACAGCAATCGCACAAGTCAGTTTTCGGCCATTTTCAGTGTATTGCCCCCACTCGTGTAAATTTTGGCAGAATGTCAGAAACATGTCTGAAATCCTGATCAAAATTCGCGCACCTCTGAAAGCTGAAATTCTGAAAACTTACTATGATATTGACGGTTTGAGTTCTACAGACTGTCCGGAGATGTTTTCAGCTTTCAGAGGTGCGCGAATTTTGATCAGGTTTTCAGACAGGTTTCTGACATTCTGACAAGATTTACACGAGTGCCCTTAAATGAAAAGTTGCTGCTAGTGTTTAGAATTGATAATTCAAACTGTAATCTCAACGTTGCCGCTATGTAATTTAAAGTAGTTCTCTCCGAATTTGAGTGTTTTATTGCAGTGTGTATTCGTAAACATTTATTCCTACACTTTTGTTGTGATTTGCTGTATTTTTTTTAAGACAGCTAGTGGATTCGTGCCCCACGTTTAACGTGCAACTTGTGTAACTAGTAAACTGTGAATTATACAACCAGTCTCCGTGATTCTCGGTGTGTTTACTGCAACTGGGAGTGAGTGCCGGTAACGTCTAGACTTAAGGGGGCACACCAGTGAAAATCGTCAAATTTTTGTCTTCTTTTTTATTTTATCTTATTTTTCTGCTATTCATTCCGAGTCGAATGCCGCAAACCCCACCCCAAAATTCCAATTACTTTGGATTGTGCACATTTTTGAAGTTGCTAAAAAGGTTATTATTTTTGGATATTTTAGACCAATTGTGAACGTTCAGGTTTTTCACTTAAAGTTAAATTACAAAACCCTTGAACCACCCAAATGCAGTTAAAAAGAGGGTCATTTTGGCGCAAAACGAACTTAA